CCCCCCGCCAGTGTATGCATGACCTTGAGGACGGAGATGTGACATTCCTAGAAGCATCCTTCTAGGAGCTGAGATGTTTCTGGTAGAGATGGCAGGAGATGGTTGAAGGTGGATGGGTATGGGGACCGGGAGCAGGAAGCTGAGTCTAGGGGGTCCCCCAGGCTCTGCAGAACCAGACGGTGTATTCAGGAACCAGGGGGTGAGTCTGCTTACAGAACTATGGGCAGGACGTGTTCCCCTCCACAACAGTGCCTGTGACACATCCCTCTGATTTCTAAGGTGGCCTCGGCAGGCGCCCTTGGCTCCAGCCGGGCGGGGTCTGAAGTGGGAACTTGAGAGGCGGAGTTGGCTGCATTCCTCTGAAATCCCTGGCCTCTGAGAATGAAAGCTGCCGGTCACGTCCTCCGCCCCTCCCCTCCCCTCCCCTCCGCACGTCTGCTTCTCTGTGAGGGACCTGGCCTTCAGCCCTGGGCAGGCACTCTCACAGCCTCTCCAGTCCCAGGACTTTCTTAGACTTTCTGGAAATATCCCCAGGCCTGGTGAGCTACGTGTGTCCAGGGGTTGGGGAGGGAACTGCTGAGCTGGGCCGGAGCCAAAGGGTTCTGCTTGGCGTCCTGTAGGACTTGGCAGGCTGCCCTTTGGTGACTAATGCTGGTGGTGTCCCCTACTCACAAGGACCCCTGGAATGTATCTTTCCAGCAAGTCTCCTTAGGCCCCAGGCAGCACCTTCCAGATCCCCGTTATCAGATCTTTGCTCACCCCAGGTCTGCTGCAGACTATCTCTGTGTTTAACCTTCCGCCAAGTGACCCTGGGTAAGCAAGTCTGGGTCTCAGGGAAGGAGGTTGGACCCAGGATGCCTTAGGTCCCCAGCGTCCGCCTTTCAGTCTGTGTGCACGTTTCCAGACTTCCTTTTCCGTGGGACAAGCGGTCCCAGGGCTGTAGCTCTGTTCTCATTCCTTCCCCATCCTCTCTCCAGCCGAGCGCTAAGGCTGGCTGTTCTTGTGTACAGAGTGTACCTAGTCCCCCCCTTTTTTTGTGTACATCCCTGAGCTCTCTGGCCTCAAACCCCTCGAGCATTATTGAGTGTTCCAGTCATGTGGCCTCTCTCAAATATCATCATGCCTATGTGAGCCTCATTTGTGACACTAGGCGAGGGCTCTGGTCAGCCCAAGCAACACCACCAAGCTTGGGGCTCTGTTGGAAGAGCGTGCTCCATCAGTAGGTTAACTTGCGAACCGTCCTTAGGACCACTTTGCGGCAGTGGTACTGTGATTATCCCACTGTCCAGTAGAGGCATCTGGGGTACTGAGAGGTGAAGATCACCAGCTGGCCAGGGGCAGAGCTGTCACTTAAATCCGGGGGTCAGGCTCTTGGCTCTTGACCTACACTCCCAGGGAATCGAGGGGTGTTCAGTGTAAGGTCTAACCTTCCCTACAGAGCCTTAAGCTTCCTGACACCAAAGCCTGCTCTTAGCTCTACTCCCAAACTTTCCTTTTTTGAGACTTTTGGATGCTGTTTTCAAGTCCTTTGAGTTTCCATATACGTTTTAGAATGTTTGCCAGAAAGTCTGTTTGTATTTTGGTTGGGACTGTTGAATCTAGAGATCAGTTTAATGCTACACGTTTGGAATCCCACCACTTGGGAGGCTGAGGCAGGATAACTGTGAGCGGGAAGCCAGCTTGGGATATACAGAGATCACCTAAAAAGAACTGACGCCTTGAGTCTCCAGTGCATGAATGTGGTTTGTGCCTGCTTTATATTTGATTGTGTATCTGATGACAAAACCCAAATTCAAATTCCTCTCACAATTATTCCAACCGGCTTCCGGTTGGTTCACTGTTCGTATTATGAGGGCCAGTGTTGTGCCAGGCCCTTACACGAATTATATCATTTAATTCCTGCAGTAACCCCATAGAGGATTCCTATCACCCTGCCCCCATCACTGAGGAGACTGAGGCTTGGGAAGAATAAGACGCTTAACCCAGGATCACATGGTTAGTACTTAACAGGTCTAGGATTTGAACCTAGGTCTACTATTGTCCACCATATTGTAGGAAACCAGAAATCAGCCAGTCTATCCCCAAACCCAAAGATAATGACTCAAGGCTTCCCTGGCTCAGTCCTTCCTGCTAGGGAAGCACAATGTGGTCTAGAGAAAACAGGCTAACAGGAGCCGGAACACCTGGCCCCTGGCAGGTGCCAGCAGACCTCCATGCTTGCTTAGTGTTGCACCACGTGTCTGCTCAGGGACTTCTTGTTGGGAGGTTAAGTCTGGGGCAGTTTTGGCCAAAATCAACCAACTCCATTACATGATTGTGCTCTCTACCTTCAGGGTCCTCTGGCAGTCTGTCCCTCCTAGGGGGATATCAAGTTCACCTCCACCACGCCCAAAAGTCTACGGGCCTCTTTTCCTTTCCACCTCTGAGTGTGTGTGGGCACTGTGTCTCAGTCATGGCCATGGGTCCTGTGTTTTGTCCCTACTGAAACCACAAACATATTCTTCCCTCCTCCACCTCCCCGCCCCCCATACATGTGAGTCTTATCTACGAAGGCTGCCTGCCCTTCACCTTCTGGCTCTTCCCACGGCTCCCCAGACCTTCTTTGGTTCTGAGACCTCCTTGGCAAGGTAGCTACTGCAGGGCAGGTGTGTCACAGCCTGAGAGGGGGTCAAAGGCTCCTGGTGGGACCCTGGGCTGTGTGAGGAGATAGGAGAATACTGTCGCATGATTCTCGGATAGTGCCTAAAGGTGTCCCGTTCCCCCCTCCCCTGCTGTAGGTCAGCCCACTCACTAGTAGGTGAGGAGGCCGAGGCCAGAGTCGTGAGATGGCACATCCAGAACCTTCCTAGGAGTGAGGTCCAGAGGAGAACTCACACATTCTGAATCCTGCCCTGAAACCCTGGAGTTTACCCTGGTTCAGGTCACCACAGCTTTGCTTGAGAGATAAGTCATTAAGTAAGGCCTGTGGAACGGGGTTCTAGCCAAAAAGATGGGTGCCCTGGTCCCCGAGCAGGGTCTTAGCTCAAACTATATTGGATTCTTTCCTATCTCCGCTATGGGAAAAGGACAAAACTAATAATTTGTCCTTTTTTTTTTTTTTTCTCCCTACAGGCTTAGAGGGTGAGCCACTAAATACCTCCTGTAGGAGTTTTCACTCAGAGGCCTGAAGTAGGGGCTCGCAGGTCCTTTTTGATTGACCGGGGGGGGGGGTTGTGGGGGGGGTAATGCCTTCACCTCCCACCAGATCTTGTCTTTGTCACGCTAGTGGAGATGTCCACATGCTCAGGACTGTCAGGCTTCTCAGCCCTCAGCACTGTGCACCCAGGACCACCAGCTTTTCTGACCCTTCCATGTTACCAAGGGGCCTCTCCAGGGCAGGGGGAGGTTGAATCGGGGAGTACAGTACTGTGGTGGTTAGGGCAGGGCTGAGAAAATACTGTTTCCAGCCGAGAGCCACTGATCTGAACTGTAAATGAACCTCTGCAAGAGAGGCAGACAGTGTGCAACCAGCCAGATGCACACCGGCAGGGAGTGGACCATGTGACCAGACGACAGCCCCGCATACCTCCCTTCCAGGGTGTAGGAGGGAGACCTGGAGGTCAGGGCCAGGGCGGGGGGCTTGCCGTGGCCTTGTGGCACTCCTGGTTTGGAGGTAGCAGTATTTAAGGGTCCAGGAAGCAGTTGAGGCAGAAGGCTGCTTAGCCTGAAGTGTGAATGTGGCTGGTGAAGCGTAAGAGCAAGAGGAAGGGCCTTCTAGGAGCTGTGGGGGCCCCTCCCTTCCTCTTCTGTTTTTGATACTTAACATAGAACCAATGAGGACCACAGTTGTCTGTGGCCGGGCCCTTCTGCCGTTCTTTACAAATACTGAGCACAGAGTGGACGGCGGTCATCTGTCCCCTGCCTGTCCCCCACAGCTGCTCTAAGAGAACCAGTTAGAGGCACTGCTGTGGTCCTGGCATGGGCCCCGCCCCTGCCTTAATGGTTCGGAGGGAGGCCTCACACAAAGTCCCAGGCCCCGGAGACTCTCATCCAGTCTGCTGGGTGAACCATATGGGTAGACTGTGGTCTCCTGCTGGGGTGGGGTGGGGTGGGGTGGGGTGGGGGGCGGGGTGGGGTGT